AACAGTGTGTTCCAGAGCGGTCAGCTGGTGGAACGCACTGCATCGCATACCGGCCGGAAGTCAATGGCACCGCAGCCACGCCCCCCAAATTCAGGAAGCTGGTCTGGATGCGATACAGTGCGTTCCAGCAGCTGAGTGCTCTGGCACGCACTGTTTAGGGTGCGAACAAGTGCTTAAAATGCACCAAATAAAGCCCCTGCACCATTTCCCAAGTCGCATGGACAGGGTGTTACCTAGGTGTGAACGAGCCCCATAGAAAATAATGGGATTCCTTTAGTCATACTTTGTTGTGTGCCAGCCAAACAGGTGTGAACATAGACTATTGGCCAGAGGTTCCTCTTTACAAAATGAACAGGAACCTACAGTATCTAGAGCAGCTGTGCATGGCAACCAATCAGCTTCTCTCTTTCATTTTCGAATCTTATCTGAACAAACTCGATAGAAGCTGATTAGTTGCCATAGGGAACTGCTCCATGTTCTGTCTGCTCCAGTTTTTATGCATTCCTCCAAATGCCACTACATTACCAAAGCCAGAATAATGCTAATTTTTCAATGATGTCTTTTTATAAAGGACAGATGATGCAAGAAGGACATTTGCACTATGAGGGACGCGCATGTCACCAGGGAGACACAGGAGCAGCAAGCTTTCACCTGGACCGTTAGCATATTATTATTACCAACTAGCTAAGACTTTACACACACCTACATTGGAAAGAGCTCAGGAAGGCCAAACATAAGCTCTTAACGTATAGAGAACTGTTACAGAAGTGAGCTCCAAGCCGTCTCCCAGGGTGACTTTTCTTTGTCCTGCATGTGCTGTAGCTGTACAGTTCCCCGCCTCCCTTCACTGCAGTGCACAGAGGAGAATGAACAGCCTGGATCCGGCAGGTAACATGCACGGAGGGTCACCTGTACAGTGTGATGTGCAGCAGCCGCCGCCATATAGTCCTCATATTACATAGAACACGAGGGTTATCATACACAGCGCTCTGATACCGACTGCTATGTAATAGCCTGCAGCTCTCATAGCATTGTGGTTAAACGTGCCTGCTTTTTTTGGGGGGGGGGCTCTGCCTCTGTATAGCGGCACCCTTTAGTAACATGGTAGCTGTCCGTGATGACCAACTTTACCAGCTCCCGACACAATAAAAGGCATTTTATACTTCCTCTTTATCCACAGGCAGGCAAGCTGGATTTATTGTATAGCCTTTTTAAAGCCATGTTTTCCATTGCCCTTGTTTTTTAAGAAGGATGGGGTTGCTGGTTACCATGGATACACATTACTTAGTGTGTTAGCAGGAACACCATTTTCTGAGACTGACATTGCCAGGGACAATCAGTAAGCAAAGACCCCTTTCCCCACTTCCTTTCAAATTCAGCTTCTTCTAAAAATGCCACTTGCTTATCATTAGAAAAGAGCAGGGAGCAGCTGGCAGCTTGCCAGCCGTGGGAGAGAGGGGGGGGATTAGGGATGGTAGCTGTTGGAAGGTTCAGGATGTGGGGCATTTAGCAGAATGCATGAGGGTCATGGCCGGGGTGCCTGCAACTAAAACAGCTACTTGCCCACCATTAGAAAAGAGCAGGGAGCAGCTGGCCTAGCCATATTGAGGTGGAAAATTATGGAGGGTGACTTTGCAGGTTCAGAATGTAGGGCTTTATTTGGAGCTACAAAATGCTGCTCGCCCATCACTAGAACACAACAGGGAGCAGCTGGTAGCTTGGCCAGCCATGCAGGGGTGGAAAATTTAGAGTGACACTAATCTCAGGAGTTTAATCCTAAAAATACATTCATGTACCCTAACAACAAAAATGTATCTTATTTGTGTATCACTTGGCTGTAGATCCTCAAATCATCTCTGAATTGGTGCTGACATTGTCCTTCCTTCTGGAGGGTGGCTACTTTTGTTCCCCATGGTCCCTGTGGTAGCCACCGCTCCAAGGTCACTCCCGTGGTGGACTACAATCTCATGTTTTGTTTACTAATCTGTATTGAGATTGTAGTCCATCACAGGAGCGAGCTAGGTGCGGTGACTACTTTACAGCACACACAGGGACGAAGGGGGAAGAAAAGTAGCCCCCCTCCAGAAGGAAGGACAGTGTCGGCACCAAGTCAGAAATGATTTGAGGATCTACAACCGAGTGATACACAAGATACATTTTTGTTAATATTAAAGTTCTTGGATGCATTTTTTTAAGATTTTCCTCCTGAGTTTAGTGTCACTTTAAGAAGGGTAATAATTTACAAGCTGAGGATGTGGGGCATTTAGCAGGATGCTTGAGGAACAAGCCTGGGCTACCGGGACCTGGAAATGCCACTAACCTATCATTAGAACTGAGCAAGATCAAAAGGTGATACTGCCGCCTACTGAACGCCTATTTTTTTTTTTAAACCAATGGGGTTTTTTGCACTGACATTTTTAGATTGTAAGCCCTCACGGGCAGGGCTCTCCTTACCATCTTGTCTTGAATTGTATTGTGATTGTAATGTCTTCCTTATATTCATATATTGTAAAGCGCTGCGCAAACTGGTGGCGCATATAAATTCTGTATAATAACAATATAATAATAATAATTTCATGCCACAACTAGTGCTATCCTGTTGAGCAAGTCCCCATCAATTGCAATTGTTGCGTTAGGCAAGTAACACTGCCAGCCGAATGTGACATGCTGTTTAAAATTTGCCATGCTAGCATTGTGTGAACCTGTTTGTACCACCCCCTTTGCTGCTTGTTTAAACAAGGCCTTAAGGCATCATTCACACTTGCCACTTCCATTTTCATGCAGAGGAATGTGTGCAAAATCAGTCAAGCTGGATACTCCTTCTAGATGCTTTAAATCCTTGGTTCTCAACTGGTGGGTCGTGACCCAACAGGGGGTCGCGTCCCCATGTTCAGTGGGTCACTGCATGTCTTCCACTTTTCTAGCTGAGAGGCTCCTCTGCCTCCCCCTAGCCAGCACCGTCAGTTCTCGCGTCAAGCAGCCATTCAAAATATGCTGCCCGGCGCTGAGTGTCAGCGTGGGATGGGGCTATGGCCACGAGGGAGCTCCATCCATACGTGCATTGCTTACACCTCCCACATGTCCTATAGAGAGGTGCCTGGACTGGAGTGACATCATATTCTGGCTCCCAGGCCCTCTACAGGGTGCACAAGGGAGCTGTAAAGTAAAGCACATATGGATGGAGCTCCGTCACAGCACAGCAGTCCACACTGGACCCCAGGCTAAGGATACACTCCAGTTCTCGTAAGGTAGGGTGACTGGGTGGACCTTAAACAAAAATTAAACATTTTTTGGAGTGTGTATGTGTGTGAGAATGTGTCTGTTGTTGTGTGTGTCTGTCAGTGTTTTTGAGGGCCCGTTCACATTACCACATAGTACCGTGCGATTAACACACTGTACCATGCAATTGCACCTAATGTGCATTCTTGTGTGGGAGGTGTATTGCGTCGCCATTCATTTGCATGGTACTCCAAACACACCTCCCACCCACAGCTCGTATGCCCGTATCGAAAACACACGGTACGCTAATGCTGTGCGTTCCATTGCGATGTAACTTGGGTCGCGACTTAATGACCAAAGACAAATGTGGGTCCTGAGGTTACACAGGTTGAGAACCACTGCTTTAAATGATTCGTGTTTACATGCATATGTGTTTAGATGCATCTGTCCTTTGTCCATTGACCCAGTCCATTGGAGTAGCCAACAAGATTTCAGCAAATAAACGTGTCTTGCATTTACATGCGTTTAGAAGTTCAAATAAATTCCTAGATGCACCTGACTTCTTTTTTTTCTAAACACAGCTAAACTGACTGCAGATAAGAGCATCTAAATGCAATGTGTGAATGGATTCATTGGATATCATTAGAAGATACCGTATATGCGTTTAGAAAACCATTTTAAACGCATATAAACACATCTAATCTCATCTAGTGTGAATGTAGCCTAAGGCTGAGGGCCTGTTTACACCATAAACAGTGTGTTCCAGAGCGGTCAGCTGGTGGAACGCACTGCATCGCATACCGGCCGGAAGTCAATGGCACCGCAGCCACGCCCCCCCCCCCCCCCCCCGCCCCACCACAAAAACAATCGCCCGCATCAGAACGCGTGGCTCATCAGTGGCTGCATTCCGGTCCAATGCAATCTTAAAAAATAGTGCTTGCAGCATTTTTCGAATCGCACTGGACAGGAACGCAGGCACTGATGTGCCACGTATTCTGGTGCGGGCAATCACACTGCAGGCAGGCTATAATGCACCACTGTGCCCCCTCCCGCCCCTGAATTCAGGAAGCTGGTCTGGATGCGATACAGTGCGTTCCAGCAGCTGAGTGCTCTGGCACGCACTGTTTAGGGTGCGAACAAGTGCTTAAAATGCACCAAATAAAGCCCCTGCACCATTTCCCAAGTCGCATGGACAGGGTGTTACCTAGGTGTGAACGAGCCCCATAGAAAATAATGGGATTCCTTTAGTCATACTTTGTTGTGTGCCAGCCAAACAGGTGTGAACATAGACTATTGGCCAGAGGTTCCTCTTTACAAAATGAACAGGAACCTACAGTATCTAGAGCAGCTGTGCATGGCAACCAATCAGCTTCTCTCTTTCATTTTCGAATCTTATCTGAACAAACTCGATAGAAGCTGATTAGTTGCCATAGGGAACTGCTCCATGTTCTGTCTGCTCCAGTTTTTATGCATTCCTCCAAATGCCACTACATTACCAAAGCCAGAATAATGCTAATTTTTCAATGATGTCTTTTTATAAAGGACAGATGATGCAAGAAGGACATTTGCACTATGAGGGACGCGCATGTCACCAGGGAGACACAGGAGCAGCAAGCTTTCACCTGGACCGTTAGCATATTATTATTACCAACTAGCTAAGACTTTACACACACCTACATTGGAAAGAGCTCAGGAAGGCCAAACATAAGCTCTTAACGTATAGAGAACTGTTACAGAAGTGAGCTCCAAGCCGTCTCCCAGGGTGACTTTTCTTTGTCCTGCATGTGCTGTAGCTGTACAGTTCCCCGCCTCCCTTCACTGCAGTGCACAGAGGAGAATGAACAGCCTGGATCCGGCAGGTAACATGCACGGAGGGTCACCTGTACAGTGTGATGTGCAGCAGCCGCCGCCATATAGTCCTCATATTACATAGAACACGAGGGTTATCATACACAGCGCTCTGATACCGACTGCTATGTAATAGCCTGCAGCTCTCATAGCATTGTGGTTAAACGTGCCTGCTTTTTTTGGGGGGGGGGCTCTGCCTCTGTATAGCGGCACCCTTTAGTAACATGGTAGCTGTCCGTGATGACCAACTTTACCAGCTCCCGACACAATAAAAGGCATTTTATACTTCCTCTTTATCCACAGGCAGGCAAGCTGGATTTATTGTATAGCCTTTTTAAAGCCATGTTTTCCATTGCCCTTGTTTTTTAAGAAGGATGGGGTTGCTGGTTACCATGGATACACATTACTTAGTGTGTTAGCAGGAACACCATTTTCTGAGACTGACATTGCCAGGGACAATCAGTAAGCAAAGACCCCTTTCCCCACTTCCTTTCAAATTCAGCTTCTTCTAAAAATGCCACTTGCTTATCATTAGAAAAGAGCAGGGAGCAGCTGGCAGCTTGCCAGCCGTGGGAGAGAGGGGGGGGATTAGGGATGGTAGCTGTTGGAAGGTTCAGGATGTGGGGCATTTAGCAGAATGCATGAGGGTCATGGCCGGGGTGCCTGCAACTAAAACAGCTACTTGCCCACCATTAGAAAAGAGCAGGGAGCAGCTGGCCTAGCCATATTGAGGTGGAAAATTATGGAGGGTGACTTTGCAGGTTCAGAATGTAGGGCTTTATTTGGAGCTACAAAATGCTGCTCGCCCATCACTAGAACACAACAGGGAGCAGCTGGTAGCTTGGCCAGCCATGCAGGGGTGGAAAATTTAGAGTGACACTAATCTCAGGAGTTTAATCCTAAAAATACATTCATGTACCCTAACAACAAAAATGTATCTTATTTGTGTATCACTTGGCTGTAGATCCTCAAATCATCTCTGAATTGGTGCTGACATTGTCCTTCCTTCTGGAGGGTGGCTACTTTTGTTCCCCATGGTCCCTGTGGTAGCCACCGCTCCAAGGTCACTCCCGTGGTGGACTACAATCTCATGTTTTGTTTACTAATCTGTATTGAGATTGTAGTCCATCACAGGAGCGAGCTAGGTGCGGTGACTACTTTACAGCACACACAGGGACGAAGGGGGAAGAAAAGTAGCCCCCCTCCAGAAGGAAGGACAGTGTCGGCACCAAGTCAGAAATGATTTGAGGATCTACAACCGAGTGATACACAAGATACATTTTTGTTAATATTAAAGTTCTTGGATGCATTTTTTTAAGATTTTCCTCCTGAGTTTAGTGTCACTTTAAGAAGGGTAATAATTTACAAGCTGAGGATGTGGGGCATTTAGCAGGATGCTTGAGGAACAAGCCTGGGCTACCGGGACCTGGAAATGCCACTAACCTATCATTAGAACTGAGCAAGGAGCAGCGGACAGCTTCCAAACCACGTGGAGGGAGGG